ATATTTTGAACAACTCCAAGGAAGGAATCAAAACAATATAACTACCTTGTTTTTAAAATGACGAACAAAGATTAATAAAAACTATTGTTGATAATATATATATAACTAAAAATTCATTTGTACACATTTTGCTCCATATTTTACTATTGGCCTATGTTGATTAGCTACAGATTATTTTGTTTAATAAAACCTATTTTAAATTCTCTCTAAATGTATTAATTACTATTGCGTATAGAATCATGTCCTTAAAAGCTCACTATGTGAGATTATAACCTTTGTTAGTGAATCTAAATACGTATTACTATCTATAACATGCTATTTCTTTCAAAAAAAACAAAAAAACAACAACTCTCAAATTAAGTGACCAAGTAAAAGATAGAAAAGTATTTTGTTTTAACTGTTACTTCAGTCACCGAATCAAAGTATTACGCCCCGTAGTACTTTATGAACCCAGAGTAATCTGTTCCTAGATATCTTAAATACTTTCAAGGTTTCTTTTGTTTTCTTTCACCAGAAACAAACAACAGGTTTTTGATAATACCACTTGAGAAAAGCAACGAAACTTTTCACGAGATTTCTTATAATATCGTTCATTGTTACAACGGTCAACATTAAATGGGGCGTTGTTATAGAGGGCGATTATTAGCACCTGTTCAGATAAAGATTTCGAAATCGGCGTGTAGAATATTCTCTACGTACTCTGTAAGTTTTAAACATAGATGGTCAAAGGATCAAGACAAGATCCAAGACATCGCTTTTACAAATAAAATAAATAAAAATTGTGTAACCTGTGTTGACTCCTACTACTTTATAAGATTACCAGAAATAATTCGATACCCGTGGTGGGCATAGCACAGGTAGCCAACTATGTAGCTTTGTTCTCAACTACAAATAAACAAACAAACCAGAAATAACAGAATGCGAACAAAAAGGGGAATCAAACCTTATGTTGGCAGATGCAGCACTTACTTGTGAATCTGGGTTAAAAAACGTTTACAGAAACACTTTAATGCACTTTGTACGTTAGTCAACAGATAAGAGGGGAAGAAGATGACTAATGGTGACGTCAAAGATACGGGCGAGTTCTTCTGCTTCCTTACGTAAAAGATGATGACGATTTGTTTAAAACATTACATTCCATAGAAAGATACTTCACGGTTTTGTAGCTACGTGGAAAATATTGATATTTTAATAAAACCATTATAGTAAACTAGAATTGTTTTCTTATAATCTTATGGCTAAGGGGGGGGGGGTCTAATGCTTTGCTTGCCCAGATTATGTATCCAAAGATTCATGGCTAGCGACCCGTTGCCGCAAAAATGCGCTTCGTGCTTTGGGGTCGTGTATGCGCTATAAGAGTGACAGTCAAATCAAATTATTTGATCAGACAATATTTTTTCAATAGTTGGGGTGAGTACTGTTACTAGCTGTCTTTCTCTAGTGACCTAGCTTATCACTGTTGACTAGCCATCCTTCTCTAGTGACCTAGCTTATCACTGTTGACTAGCTATCTTTCTCTAGTGACCTAGCTTATCACTGTTGACTAGCTGTTTTTCTCTAGTGACCTAGCTTATCACTGTTACTAGCTGTATTTCTCTAGTGACTTAGCTTATCACTGTTGACTAGCTATGTTTCTCTTGTGACCTAGCTTATCACTGTTGACTAGCTGTCTTTCTCTAGTGACTTAGCTTATCACTGTTGACTAGCTGTCTTTCTCTAATGACCTAGATTATCACTGTTGACTAGCTATGTTTCTCTAGTGACCTAGCTTATCACGGTTGACTAGCTGTCTTTCTCTAGTGACTTAGCTTATCACTGTTGACTAGCTATGTTTCTCTAGTGACCTAGCTTATCACTGTTACTAGCTGTCTTTCTCTAGTGACTTAGCTTATCACTGTTGACTAGCTATGTTTCTCTAGTGACCTAGCTTATCACTGTTGACTAGCTGTCTTTCTCTAGTGACTTAGCTTATCACTGTTACTAGCTGTCTTTTTCTAGTGACCTAGCCTATCACTGTTGACTAGCTGTCTTTCTCTAATGACCTAGCTTATCACTGTTGACTAACTGCCTTTCTCTAGTGACCTAGCTTATCACTGTTGACTAACTGTCTTTCTTTAGTGACCTAGCTTATCACTGTTACTAGCTGTCTTTCTCTAGCGACCTAGCTTATCACTGTTGACTAACTGTCTTTCTCTAGTGACCTAGCTTATCACTGTTACTAGCTGTCTTTCTCTAGTGACCTAGCTTATCACTGTTGACTAGCTGTCTTTCTCTAGTGACCTAGCTTATCACTGTTACTAGCTGTCTTTCTCTAGTGACCTAGCTTATCACTGTTGACTAGCTGTCTTTCTCTAGTGACTTAGCTTATCACTGTTACTAGCTGTCATTCTCTAGTGACCTAGTTTATCACTGTTGACTAGCTATGTTTCTCTTGTGACCTAGCTTATCACTGTTGACTAACTGTCTTTCTCTAGTGACTTAGCTTATCACTGTTACTAGCTGTCTTTCTCTAGTGACCTAGCTTATCACTGTTGATTAGCTGTCTTTCTCTAATGACCTAGCTTATCACTGTTACTAGCTGTCATTCTCTAGTGACCTAGTTTATCCCTGTTGACTAGCTGTTTTTTTCTAGTGACCTAGCTTATCACTATTGACTAGTTGTCTTTCTCTAGTGACCTAGCTTATCACTTAAACTTGTTGAACGTTGTTTATATGACATGTTGTACAACCTTGTTGAACATTGTTTATATGACATATTGTACAACCTTGTTGAACGTTGTTTATATGACATGTACAAACTTGTTGAACGTTGTTTATGTAACATGTTATACAACCTTGTTGAACATTGTTTATGTGACATGTTGTACAAACTTGTTGAACGTTGTTTATATGACATATTGTACAACCTTGTTGAACATTGTTTATGTAACATGTTGTTCAACCTTGTTGAACGTTGTTTATGTAACATGTTGTTCAGCCTTGTTGAACGTTGTTTATATGACATGTTGTACAACCTTGTTGAACGTTGTTTACATGACACGTTGTACAACCTTGTTGAACATTGTTTATTTGACATGTACAAACTTGTTGAACGTTGTTTATGTAACATGTTGTTTAACCTTGTTGAACATTGTTTATATGACATATTGTACAATCTTGTTGAACGTTGTTTATATGGCATATTGTACAACCTTGTTGAACGTTGTTTATATGACATGTTGTACAACCTTGTTGAACGTTGTTTACATGACACGTTGTACAACCTTGTTGAACATTGTTTATGTGACATGTTGTACAACCTTGTTGAACCTTATCTATGTAACATGTTGTACAAACTTGTTAAACGTTGTTTATATGACATGTTGTTCAACCTTGTTAAACACTCTTTATATGAATTATTGTACAAACTTGTTGAACGTTGTTTATATGACATATTGTACAACCTTGTTGAATATTGTTTATGTGACATGTTGCACAAACTTGTTGAACGTTGTTTATATGACATATTGTACAACGTTGTTGAACATTGTTTATGTAACATGTTGTTCAACCTTGTTGAACGTTGTTTATGTAACATGTTATACAACCTTGTTAAACATTGTTTATGTGACATGTTGTACAAACTTGTTGAACGTTGTTTATATGACATATTGTACAACCTTGTTGAACATTGTTTATGTAACATGTTGTTCAACCTTGTTGAACGTTGTTTATGTAACATGTTGCTCAGCCTTGTTGAACGTTGTTTATGTAACATGTTGTTCAACCTTGTTGAACGTTGTTTATTTATGTAACATGTTGTTCAACCTTGTTGGGCGTTGTTTATGTAACATGTTGTACAACCTTGTTGAACATTGTTTTTCTATTCGTACATGTTTTATAACACGCTTCATCAGAACTCATTTATTCTATCAATATATTCTTACCTAACGTTTTTTGTTTAACTCATTTTTAATTTAGCAACCACTTCTGTTTCCCAACATTTGACACAAATAGAAAGTTTTCATCAACCAACGTAATGTCAAGTAACTGTTATGAGTTGGTTGAGTGAATTAATGAAATAACTGTGCACGTGATCATTTCTATCAACTGTATAATTTGTCAGATACTTCTTCAACTGCAGTTAAAACCACGCTTGTTTATACGTGCTAGGTTTAAACTGTAAAATTATGTCTACGCCAATCACTATAGCTGTATTTAATTTTACGAAGAATAGATTGTAAATGTTCACACTGTATTTATCCCAAACATTAACTGTATTTATTTCTTAATGCTCTGTTAAAGTTTAAACAGAAGATACTGTAGTTACCAATCTCATAAAGATACAGAAAAAAATTTAAACTATATAAAATCAAATACTAATGGTATAATTATTCGGACTAATATTCTCGTCTTTATTATTTGTATTATTATTTTCACAACGTTTCGACCAGTGAATTCTACGACCATCGTCAGGGGTTATATCAGACATTTTTGTATGCGTCACAACCAAAAAGCTTTTTGTGGAATTTTTTCGTAATACTGGGAGTCATATCAGGTTTATGTCAACACTTGGCATCAGTGAACCAAACCATCTCGGGGTTCAGATCGTGGTAATTCTACATTCTACAAAAAACTTTCTGGTTATGACGCATACAAAAATGTCTGATATAACACCTGAAGAAGGACGGAGAATTCACTGTTGAAACATTGTGAAAAACAAACAAACAATACACATAATAAAAACGAGAATAACAGTTTGAATAATTATACCATTACTGGTACTAACTCCTCGTCTCAATCATTCCGCAAAACGATATAAAATCAAATAACCACGATCTTGTTGATTTACCTTAAAAAATATTATACACCCATTTTGTTTTTATCAGACAGGTAAAGGCCCACAGGAACCACTTTGATAAATAAGGGGTGTTTCGTTACTTCTTATCTAAAACAAGAAACTTATATTGATTACACAAAGGTTTGTGTAACGTAAGTACGTTCAGGTCATTTCTGGTTGACAGGTGCACCACGATATTTGGAACACGAATTGTACATGCTAAGGTCTTGCCCTATGGTGTTGTAATTTATTTGCGCCATGATTTTCGGTGTTAAAAGTGGAATCTTTTTATGCATTTTATTAATTCTGTTTGTTCAGTGTGTTGTAACAACAGGTAAGTAAGCATATTTGATGTAGGAATTGTAATATATGTAGAAAATGATTCGGAAACTAGGAATGAAAGAAACCCTCGATCCCCACACAGCAGAAAAAGACAAGAGTTCAGTCTTACATTGTTGATCAGTTTATATTTTTTCGGGACTTAGGTAGCTATGGAAACGGATCAACCTTTTGATCCAGAGCTTGCTTTATTGTTGAACATGGGTACAGTGACACTTTCTTCTCTAATGTACTGCTCTTCTGACTTTCAACCCTTTTTATAGCTGAAAACTTCGTGAACTTAAATCTAAAGGTCGAGCAAGTATGGATAAATAAACATTTAAAACGCGGATACATAGGTTTGTTTGTTTTTGAATTTCGCGCAAAGCTACACGAGGGTTATCTGCGCTAGCCGTCCCTAATTTAGCAGTGTAAGACAAGAGGGAAAGCAGCTAGTCATCACCACCCACCGCCAACTCTTGGGGTACTCTTTTACCAACGAATAATGGGATTGACAATCACATTATAACGTCCCCACGGCTGAAAGGGCGAGCATGTTTGGTGGGATGGGGATCGGATACATAGGACAGGTTGTCATGTGGTCAAATGGTGTAATGTGATATACAAGTGTTCAATGTAGTCTCCTTATATATCGAAGCTCAGACGTAAACAATTCATACACTTCTTGTGGAAAGCAGACTGCATTCTTCATAGGATACGCTTCTTTAATTGCTACACACGATGGTTTTTACCCCATACACACAGGTGTGTTGACATACTGCATCCTCTCTTTTATAAATTAAAACCACCTTTATTCGTACCTCTTCTATCAGAAACATTAGAGCAACGGTTGCGTCTATTAGCAAACATAAAAATAAAATATGTTCATATGATAACCAATACAGGGAAACCCTGTATGTGTAGAATACATTTGTAATTTTGACTAGAGAATCGGAACCTAATGTTCAGAAAACTGAGTAGAATATTATAGACAATGACTAGTAAAATTGTTCACACACACCTGGGAGACGATACAGTACAAAACTTGCCGCATTCACAAAATTGGAAAGTTTAAAAGATTTAGACTAGTTTTGTTGAGCATAGCAAATAAAGGAAGAGTCTGACTGATAGCATATTTATTTAGTTTTGTGCTAACATATATTCATTCCTCCATGAGCTTCGAAGCACCATGTCAGGGAATTTAAAGAGACAGTTATGGTTTAAATCTCATGAGGCCTTACGTTAGGATACGCGTATAAAGGTTGATTAAATATTGTCTCACATTTGGTTGAATTTAAAATCCCATGAAAACCACCTGGCGATGACAATGAAACTAACGATTCACTCGTTTGAAAACTTAGATTTATTGTAAATGTAATCATATATACGATTTGTAACTGGTACAGCATTTGGAATCAAATGTATAACCCGTAAATTTAGATGTAAGTATTGGATATATAATTAGCATCCCCGTCATGGTAAGGAAGTATCTCCTTGTTTGTCTCTCCCAAGTTCAGCATGTACTTGTAACGACAATAACAACACTATCGTTATGACTGACAAGAATTTGAATGTTATAATATTTTATATTAAATACAGCTTTTGTTTTTAAAAAACACATTTATAATTTACCATAATATTTGTTTGCTCCGCGAAATAAAAATTATAGATAATTGAATTATTATAATATAACGCGTACCCAGGGCCGTAATAAGGCTACTGGGGTGTCCAGAGATTAATGTACTTTTAGAAGTTTGTCGATGACATTATATTTGTTTTCAAAATAATTTCAAGAGCGGTAGTGGCCCCAGAGAGCTTGGGCCCCGGGACTGTGGTTCCATCAGCCTTGTGTTAATACGACACTGCGTTCGCCTGGAGAAAAGCTATTATTTTAATATTAATTAACATTTAGAGCAGTTCATTTAGGATGTATTAGCTAGGACTGAACATTTTTCAGGTTTTATTTCTTCAAGTGGATGTGAGCCTAAATCTACAACATAGGCCTGATAGTCATCCTTACTTATTTTTATGTGGTCTATTATAGGAATACTATATAAGAAACAAGAAACCCGTGAGTCTATGGCCTACTTTTACAGGGCTGCCATAATGTAAATTTAATGCTTAAACTACTATTTTGCATTTTTTTCAGTTTAATGATAATTGCCACTGTAATGCAAGTTTAATTTCTTTAACCAAGTTATAAACGGTAATTAGTAGGCCTACTTATTTATGTGCTCTAATAAAAATCAATGCCAAATTTAGGTCTGCTTTTGGGGAATCACCGTAAAAGAGTTTTTCGTGAAACGCCCGGATTCTCTAACGGATTGGGTAAAAAGTTTTACCTTTATGCAAATCTCGAGGCCGAGACGATTCGTTCGGCACCAATTTAAAGAGTCGTTATGATGCAAATTTAATGCTTGAACTACTGTATTTACGTGTTCTGATAAGAATCAATGCCAAATTTAGGGCCCGCTTTCGGGGAATCCCCGTAAAAGTATTTTCGCAAAATACTCGGGTTCCCTAAGGAGTTGGGTGAAAAATTTTGCATTTCTACAAAATGATTCGCTCGGCACCATTTAGAAGTTGGCGAGTCGAGCAGTTTAGGAAAATTTGTGTTGGGGAAATGTACAGGTTCCCCAACGAGTGGGGTGAAAATGTTTATCTTTTTGTAAACCTCGGGACTGAGACGATTCGTTTGGTACGACATAGAAGTCGGTGCGGCCAGCTGTTTAGAAGTAGTTACACACAGACACTGAATCTTATTATATAGATTTGTACTATAGAATTTTACTGTAACAGTTTGTCGTAACAGATTCTATCACTGTCTTTTCGGTATTCAATATAAATAATACAATGTCCTGCACTTCAACCATAATCTACAAATTCTACGGGTTAGGTTCGTTGACTAATGTTACTTGTTGAATTACTTCTTGTATAAACGACACAATTCAAATCTGACTGACTAACACTCTTGAGCTATAATGCAGTAGCAGATTCACTAATTAACTGATTAATCACTCATACACTAACTGATAAACTCTCTGACCTACTGACTAACGAAGTTCGTATTTTTATATACATTACAATATTTGTTTTTTCCCCAAATCTTACGAAAGCTTTAGATATTACGTCACATCTAGACCTTTAGTAAACTTCTAGGTGTCTTGCGTCATACTTACGTCATGCCAAAACTCCTTCTATTAAAAAATTAAACATAACCTAAAACAAGTTATTAAACAGTAAATAAAAGTGAGAATTATTGGATGTGTTATCTAAGTAAGGTAGCGAAACTGGAGGAAGAAGAAAAATAAATTTATAATAAGAGTTTAAATTTTCTGCATTATTGTAATTGCCAGCTGCTTAGTATTTAGTAATGTAGGCGTAAGTAAATTATTTAGAAATCAATGTTAGCAATTAGTTATGGGGGCACATCTGTAACTGCTATAATACCGGTATTAGTATTAGCTAGCAGATCGATCCACGGTAAGAGTTTAATAAAAATTAACAAATCATTTATATGATTCATTTATTGTTGTTTTTATATCTGTGTTTTGTGGCTACGTGTGCAAAAAACCTGCCTAGTTTGATATGCAGGTGTTCTATTGCTATCTACATAGAGGGGATATTTCAATTTACTATAATGGGATTTGAAAACGAAATGCAATTGTAGAATTAATGTTTTACCAATTGTAAATACAAATAGTGTTTCTGTTTTTGTCCTAAATATGCCAGTAATTATTGAAAGTAAATAGATGTTACATATACCCCATGTAATGACAGAGGGAACTGTAGAAATCCCATTAGTACTCATAAAGGCTACCTCCCGCTGATTGGTCTACATCTCCTTGACACATTCCGAATCATTCTTAACTGATTAAATCATATTTGACAGGTCTAACTGCAAAAAACCTAGAAAGAGCTAGAGGACAAACAAACCTACGTGCAAGCAAACTTTTGTCAAATTACAATACGATTAATAGGGGATTTTAGTCTTAGGTTTGCCTACATTTTGATCTGTGACATTTTGGCTTAATTTGATTTAAATTAAAAAAATATTGGTGGCTAGATTTACAATAGAGAAGTAAGGCTAGCACAACTTCTTTACGCTTAGACATAGTACAAGGATAAGTGGGCTGGACTATAGGATGTGATAGGTAGAGATAGTACAAGGATAAGTGGGCTGGACTGTAAGATGTGATAGGTAGAGATAGTACAAGGTTAAGCGGGCTGGACTATAGGATGTGATAGGTAGAGATAGTACAAGGATAAATGGGTTGGACTATAGAATGTGATAGGTACCAGAACGGGGCTGCTTTTGGGCATAGTGGGCTTGATTGAGATTTTAGTGACAAAGCTGTTACGATATCGGAAGTCACGTGACTTGCGCGATGCGTTTCTTGAATGATCGGGGAAGTCCGATTGTGTTCGAGATGCCCTCTTCGTTAGTATATAAGCCAGGCAGAAAAAGCCAGCGGAAAGATAAATGAAGAGAGAGCAGTAGTTACTTTGAGTTCCTTGTAATTTATGATCTGTTAGTTTCGAGCTAGTGAGCCGTAAAGTGTGTGTTTTGCACTTGTCGAGAGCGAAGTTATGGAGATTGTGAATCGCTGTGATTTATAGCGTTTATTATAAAAGTTGTTAAGTTTAAAGTGACGAGAAACGGACTGATTGTGGAACTACTGTGTACTAAAAGTTTGTATCGAGGAAGAACAAACTGGTTTAGTCAAGAAAGGACTTGTATCGCTGAAGATTCTCGGAAAGAATTTCTACCAGAAACAAACAAACAAGCAGATACGTAACAAATTGGTGTCAGAGAGTGGGACAGACAAAAAAAATGGAAACGAGAAGTGGCGAATCAAACTACAGCTTAGCAGATTTGATGGTAGCAATACAAGAAGAGCAAAAGAAAAAAACAACGAGAAAACAAACAAGAAGAGAGACTACGGCAGTGGTTGGGGAGAAAGAGAAGAAACAAGAAGATCGAGAAAATAAACAAGAAGAGAGGCTACATCAGTGGTTGGAAGAGAAAGAAAAGAAACAAGAAGAGAGGCTTCAGCAGTGGATGGAGGAGAAAGAAAAGAAACAAGAAGAGAGACTACAGAAGTGGTTGGAGAAGAAAGAAAATAAACAAGAAGAGAGACTACAGCAGTGGTTGGAGGAGAAAAAATAAACAAGAAGAGAGACTACAGTGGTGGCAAGAAAATCAGCACCAGTGGCAACTGGAACCAGAAAGGAAACAAGAAGAATGAGAAAAGAAACAAGAAGGAAGTCTCCAACAGTTGCGGGAAAGTCGGCAGCAACTATATGAAAGTCAGCAACAGTGGCAAGAAGAACAAGAAGAGAGAGTACAAGATCAGCATGAGTAGAAATGGAAAAGATTATTAAATTTCAAAGTGAATTAAATACATTAAAGGACGATTTATTATCTTTTATACAGGGAGGATATATTAGCCATAGACCTAATCAGCCCAAGACAATAGGAAGCCCCTTCCAGACCCTGCAGCTAAATCCTAATGCAGACATCTTCAATCCTGCGAGAAGTCACATTCCAGACATGAGTGTCAGCAATAGGGGTTATCTAGTAGGAAGGAATTCACAGAAATTTGATGGGAAGGCACCATGAGAAGCATATAAAGCACAATCTGAGCTCCTGGTAGAAATGAACGGATGGAGAGAGGAGCAGAAAGCAGTGTACCTGGCAACGAGGCTGAAGGGAC